CTAGGTATGTGTTAGACTATGATTTCTTTAAATAGCTGAGAAAAGAACTGTGCTGAATAGAATGACTATTTCTGTCTGTGTGTCTTTTTTGTAACTTAAGGTTTTGCCTAGAGGGATTCTCAATGTTTTGAATCTAATTATCCTGTAAGGTATCTACCATCCCGATTTTACAGAGGTGATTCCTTTACTTCTATTTACTTCTATTTCTAGAAAACTGAATGCTTTTTCATTGTTCTCAGATCCAAGGGTTTGGGTCTGTGGTCACCTATGCAAATTGGTGAGGATTTTTACCAAACCTTTCCCAGGAAGTGGGGTGCAAGGGTTGGGAGGATTTTGGGGGGAAAGAAGTGTCCAAACTATGTTTCCCAGTAAACCCAGTTAGAGTTTGGTGGTGGCAGTGGATATTCCAAGGACAAAGGATAGAATTAATTTGTACCTTGGGGAAGTTTTAACCTAAGCTGGTAAAAGTAAGCTTGGGAGGTTTTCAGGCAGGTCCCCACATCTGTACCCTAGCGTTCAGAGTGGGGGAGGAACCTTGACAAGTCCCCTTAAATACAGAACTTGGAGTACAGAGGTGAATGCATTGGAGTTGCTGTGACTTAAATCTCCTGTGGTCTAATGGCATGCTTATGCACATTTCGGTCTCAATACATTTTCACTCTTTTTGGGTGTCTCTGCTGAGACTGTTAAACAAGAGGTTAGTGCTAATGCTGGTGGTTTCTGTGATGTAACCTTGTCTGTTAACTGGAATGAGTAAGTATTAGTACATAATCCACCAAACAGGCTTCAGATGATAAGAAGTTTAGATCACTGACTTGGGATGTATTTCATCTGGAAACTCTCATTCAGCTGAAATTTCAATTCTGTATAATCACATTCTGTAATTTTAATTTGTAAATGCAGAGGTTTTGGTGTAATGTGCTCCTTTACCTCCAACCATACGCACATGGTCCATGCTGTTAGTATGAATTAATAATATCTAATACCTGCTTCAGGTACACCACCTGCCCTGTTTACTCAGCTCACGAACTCCAGGCGGTGAATAACAGACTACATTTAGACTTTGCACAGCTTGGTTCCCACAAATCAAAACTCCAGATTAGTCTTAATTAGATGCTGAGGCTAAACTTGTTTATTACCTGATTATATATAGGTTTAATTTTTGGGTGAAAATGCATAACTTGTTAGCAAGTCTTACAAGATAAACCAACATTTTGGAGTTTGCATTGGAAAACATGGAGATAGTCAACATCCTGAGAGTTAAAAATCTGATATATATGGTCTACATATATGCAGGAGTGAAATCAGGAAGGCCAAATCACACCTGGAGTTGCAGCTAGCAAGAGATGTTAAGAGTAACAAGAAGGGTTTCTTCAGGTATGTTAGTAACAACAAGAAAGTCAAGGAAAGTGTGGGCCCCATACTGAATGAGGGAGGCAACCTAGTGACAGAGGATGTGGAAAAAGCTAATATACTCAATGCTTTTTTTGCCTTTGTCTTCACGAACAAGGTCAGCTCCCAGACTACTGCACTGGGCAGCGCAGCATGGGAAGGAGGTGACCAGCCCTCTGTGGAGAAAGAAGTGGTTCAGGACTATTAAGAAAAGCTGGACGAGCACAAGTCCATGGGGCCGGATGCGCAGCATCCGAGAGTGCTAAAAGAGTTGGCGGATATGATTGTAGAGCCATTGGCCATTATCTTTGAAAACTCATGGCGATCGGGGGAGGTCCCGGACGACTGGAAAAAGGCTACTGTAGTGCCCATCTTTAAAAAAGGGAAGAAGGAGGATCCTGGGAACTACAGGCCAGTCAGCCTCACCTCAGTCCCTGGAAAAATCATGGAGAAGGTCCTCAAGGAATCAATTCTGAAGCACTTAGAGGAGAGGAAAGTGATCAGGAACAGTCAGCATGGATTCACAAAGGGCAAGTCATGCCTGACTAATCTAACTGCCTTCTATGACGAGATAACTGGCTCTGTGGATGAGGGGAAAGTGGTGGACGTGTTGTTCCTTGACTTTAGCAAAGCTTTTGAACGGTCTCCCACCATATTCTTGCCAGCAAGTTAAAGTAGTATGGGCTGGATGAATGGATTATGAGGTGGATAGAAAGTTAGCTAGATTGTCGGGCTCAACGGGTAGTGATCAATGGCTCCATGTCTAGTTGGCAGCCGGTATCAAGTGGAGTGCCCCAAGGGTCGGTCCTGGGGCCGGTTTTGTTCAATATCTTCATTAATGATCTGGAGGATGGCGTGGATTGCACCCTCAGCAAGTTTGCAGATGACACTAAACTGGGAGGAGAGGTAAATACGCTGGAAGGTAGGGATAGGATACACAGGGCCCTAGACAAATTAGAGGATTGGGCCCAAAGAAATCTGATGAGGTTCAACAAGGACAAGTGCAGAGTCCTGCACTTAGGATGGAAGAATCCCATGCACCGCTACAGACTAGGGACCGAATGGCTAGGCAGCAGTTCTGCAGAAAAGGACCTAGGGGTTACAGTGGACGAGAAGCGGGATATGAGTCAACAGTGTGCCCTTGTTGCCAAGAAGGCCAATGGCATTTTGGGATGTATAAGTAGGGGCATTGCCAGCAGATCGAGGGACGTGGTCGTTCCCCTCTATTCGACATTGGTGAGGCCTCATCTGGAGTACTGTGTCCAGTTTTGGGCCCCACACTACAAGAAGGATGTGGATAAATTAGAGAGAGTCCAGCGGAGGGCAACAAAAATGATTAGCGGACTGGAACACATGACTTCTGAGGAGAGGCTGAGGGAACTGGGATTGTTTAGTCTGCGGAAGAGAAGAATGAGGGGGGATTTGATAGCTGCTTTCAATTACCTGAAAGGGGGTTCCAAAGAGGATGGATCTAGACTGTTCTCAGTGGTAGCAGATGACAGAACAAGGAGTAATGGTCTCAAGTTGCAGTGGGGGAGGTTTAGGTTGGATATTAGGAAAAACTTTTTCACGACGAGGGTGGTGAAACACTGGAATGCGTTACCTAGGGCGGTGGTGGAATCTCCTTCCTTAGATATTTTTAAGGTCAGGCTTGACAAAGCCGTGGCTGGGATGATTTAGTTGGGGATTGGTCCTGCTTTGAGTAGGGAGTTGGACTAGATGACCTCCTGACGTCCCTTCCAACCCTGATATTCTATCATTCTACATCTGAAGTCAGTACTTAATGGCACATAAACAATACCTATGTCCAACAGTTACCACACAGCAGTGTCTGAGATAATGAAGATACTTTGTAAGTACAGGAGAAATTGTGATCTCTCACATGCAGTACTAATGTTTAATTGTTGGCAAATGTTTTTCTGATCGAGATTAAACCCTGCAGTGGTTACTAGGACAAGCTATTTAAGGTGAAATTACTGACTATGGAAAACCAAACGTGCTGAACACAAACTAGTTTTCTTGTAAGCATCTCAGGGTTGAACTGTGTGTCCTCCATGTAATCAGAACTGTCAAATTAACTGTTGGAGGTGCTTGTTTCTGGGAGAACACTTTTTAAATTTAATAACAGCTGCTTAGTGTAGAAAAACTAGATTGCTTAGCTAGGCTGACATATAACTCTCTTCACAGGACAGTTTTCCACACACCATGGCCAGTGCTTTTAGCAAGGTACTCTATGCAACAAAATATTATGTCCTGGGCCACTGCAGCTAGTCACTATCTTTAGATACAATGGCTTGACCATTACATTAATTTTAAACCATATCAAATAGCACAGTAAGCTGTAGTATGTGTTTTCCATACATACCACATTTCTCCTACCCTCACAGCTGTGGCCTGTTGCTTAGGAAATTAAATCTGTTCTGAAGTGAACTACGTCAGTGGTCTTCAGATTTCATGATTTTATGTTTAATATAATATCACTTTACTTTCCTTAATTGTCTGTTGTAAGGGGGAGAGGTCTAAAAAAAGAACTAAAGCTTAGAAATCATGGTGCACTATACACAGTTTTGGGGAAAGTACATTTGACTAGTGTGTATAAGGTTCCTGGATATTCAGTGCTTTTTTAAAGTCTGCTCACAAGGTCAAGTGGAGGAGCACATAGCTAAGAAAATGAATCTACAGAATATGCATTCAGAGAAATTTGTTTTTAAATATAAATCATTTACCATGTTTGGGATTTGGCTTTAAAATAGTCTCTTTACTGTTCTTTAGAGTATCAATAGTTCTTATTCATGATATGCTCTTTCTTTAGTGTATTTCCCAACAGAGAAAATTACTTACAATTAAAAGAAAGGATTGTTCAGGCAGCACTTCTCCCAAAGTGCTCATTGGCATGCTTCGTGAGTATATAGCCATCTCTTCCCGGCCGTGGACATTGAGGATGGTTCTATGTAGCTGCAGTGAGCAGAAAATTGAAATAATGAAAAAATCAGGCCAAGAGTATTGTTGTAGCCATATATAACATGTGAAATACATATTTAAACACCCACTATTTAACACTCTCTTTATCATGATATAAATACACCGTTCAGTTTGCAAGGTAGCAATAGGTAGCAAGATGTCTGCAATAGCTGCTGGTAATTTGAGATGATTTTTTCACTTTATCAAGCCAAGAATGACTAGAGATCTAGAGCGGTGCTTGTTAGTGGTATCTCTACTCATTTTTTTGATTACTGCAAGAGTTCTATTTTTAGATCTATTGATGTGCAACAAGAAAGAGCTGCTCCACGCCTTCTGTCACATGATTGTAGAGAACCTGAAGCTGAAGTGCGTATTGGTGATTATTCAGAGAGACGTTCGTTACCTTGGGGAGATATAAAATGATAGTATAGTTAAATGTGTTATGGTGCTAAATCAGTGGATTACACTAACATTACCCTTATTTAAGAGTAAAAGTGCAGGAAATGCCATTGAGAAAAATTACATAATTTGTCTTTTTGCTTAGGATTTGTTGTCACTGAACAAGTAACTGTAAGCACATTTTAAAAACACACTGAAGTAATATGTTTTTCAGATTAATTCACCAATGACACATTTTCTGTTCACAGAACCCAGCTGTCTCCAGTTCCAGCTGGTCAGAACTAGATGTACTCATTTTGGCAGGAACTGTTGGCTATGCTGTGAGCCTGGGAGCAAGCAGCTTTATAGAAGAGGAGCACCAAACCTGGTATTTTCTTATCAATACTCTTTGTCTGGCACTGTGCCAGGAAATTTGTAGACACTACTTTCTTGTGAAAGAATGTGATCTTCAGCTTAGTACTGCTGTGAAACAAAATTTTGAAGATATTGAGGAAACCACCCAGTGCAGGAAGGTTGATATACCATCATGTGACTCAAAATTGGGCAAAGTCACCTCTTCAGGTGAATTTCTAAAAGGCTCAGAAAAGTGGATGGGTTTAGCAAGTCCATTAATCATCCTTATTTGCTGTCGGTTACTTCGTTCATTAAATCAGACGGGAGTTCAGTGGGCTCATCGACCCGACTTTGGACATTGGTTGACAAGGTGGGTATCTGAGTTGGATAATAGTTACTACTTACTTAAAATTTCATGTCTTACTTTGTGTTTAGCTAAGGGGATAATGATTTAATATTCTGTAAATAGAAAATACTGTAAATAGTTGAAGGAAGTGAGTATTAAGTGCTGCGGAGTTTTTTCACTATTCTTATTGGAGTAGTTGTCCTGTGTAATGTATTTACCACCACTAGGCTATTGTCCTTAGCACTAATCAAGATTTATAATCTAATTCTTGCAAACTTGAAAGCATGTTTTTTTATAAGCGGTTTAATGTTTTTCAATAACTAAGGGTATGTCTGCAGTACAAAATTATTCTATTTGAATTTTTGGAAGCGATTTTATACATTCGGTGAAGCGCATGAATTCGGCGGAGTGCGTCCACAGTACTGAGGGTAGCATTGAATGTCGGAGCAGTGCACTGTGGGTAGCTATCCCCCAGTTCCTGCAGCCCCCACTGCCCATTGGAATTCTGGGTTCAGCTCCGACTGCATGATGGGGCAAACATCGCGGATGTTTCTGGGTGTGTGTCGTCAGTCGCTCCTCCTTCCGTGAAAGCTATGGCAGACAATCGTTTTGCGCCTTTTTGGCATGCAGGCGCCATACTTTTTTCAGCAGATGATGCAGTACGGTGCACCGCTTCTATCCTGGTACTATGAATCCACCTCTCATTTCCTCTCATCTTTCTATGTAATCTCTATAAGTATCTACTCTTTCTCTCTTCCTCATCGACCGCTTCCACTGCCAACTCTGCTTGGGCATCGTGAACCGAGCAGCACAGCTTCTGCCGTCAACTCTGCTCTCCCGCTCTTGCCGCACTACTGAGCTTCTCAATGTTGTCTGTCCTGGGCTGCTGCTTTCGTGAAAGCTACAGAAGACAACCATTTCCCGCCTTTTATCAGCTATCGTGAACCAAACAGCACCTCTTCCGCTGCTACTCTGCTCTCCTACATTTCACGCCCTTTTTCCAGGATTACCCGTGCAGGCACCATAGCATGGCAAGTATGGAGCCCGCTCAGATCCCCGCTGCAGTTTTGACTATTGTAAATACCTCATGCATTATCCAGCAGTATGTGCAGTACCTGAAAAACTGGGTGAGGAAGTGACGACAGCGCCATTACTATGTTGATGAGGACATGGACAGAGTCATTCCTAGAAGCATGGCATGTGGTGATTGGGAGATCATGGTGGCGTTGAGCCAGGTTCATGCCGTGGAACGCCGATTCTGGGCCTGGGAAACAAGCACAGACTGGTGGGACTGCATAGTGGTATGGGATGATTCCCAGTGGCTGCGAAACTTTCATATGCGTAGGACCACTTTCATGGAACTTTGTGACTTGCTGTCCCCTGCCCTGAAGTGCAAAGACACTAAGGTGAGAGCAGCCCTCACAGTTGAGAAATGAGTGGCCATAGCCCTGTGGAAGCTTGCAAGGCCCGACAGCTACCGGTCAGTCAGGAATCAGTTTGGAGTGGGGAAATCTACTGTGGGGGCTGCTATGCTGCAAGTAGCCAACGCAATCATTGACCAGCTGTTATCAAGGGTAGTGACTTTGGGAAATGTGCAGACCATTGTGGATGGCTTTAATGCACTGGGGTTCCCTAACTGCGGTGGGGCAATAGACGGAACACATATCCCTATCTTGGCCCTGGAACGCCGGGGCGGCCAGTACATAAACCGCAAGGGGTACTTTTTCCACGGTGCTGCAAGCACTGGTGGATCACAAGGGATGTTTCACCAACATCAATGTGGGATGGCCGGGAAAGGTGCATGACGCTCACATCTTCAGGAACTCTGGTCTGTTTGAACAGCTGCAGGAAGGGACTTACTTCCCAGACCAGAAAATTACTGTTGGGGATGTTGAAATGCCTATAGTTATCCTTGGGGACCCAGCCTACCCCTTAATGCCATGGCTCATGAAGCCATACAACAAGCGCCCTGGACAGTAGTAAGGAGCAGTTCAACTGTAGGCTGAGCAAGTGCAGAATGGTGGTAGAATGTGCTTTTGGACGTTTGAAAGCGCGCTGGCGCAGTTTGCTGAGATCTAACTGAGTCAGTACAACCAATATTCCAATTGTAATTGCTACTTGTAGTGTGCTCCACAATATCTGTGAGTGTAAGGGGGAGATGTTTATGGCGGGATGGGATGTTGAGGCAACTTGCCTGGTGGCCAGTTTTGCACAGCCAGACAACAGGGTGATCAGAAGAGTGCAGCAGGACGCGCTGCACATCGGAGAAGCTTTGAAAGCCAGTTTCATGACTGGCCAGGGTATGGTATGACAGTTGTGGTTGTTTCTCTAGAAGTTACCCGCCCCCCTCTGTGTGTGTGTGTGTGTGTGTGTGTATGTATATATATATATATATATATATATATAAGGAAATAGTCACAATTGTTTAAAAACCATTCTTTATTACTTGTTGCACAACACATTGAGAGAAATCAGAAGGTAGACCAGGGGAAGGGGCGGGTATTGTGTTAGAGGGGTGGAGGAGGAGAGAAGGACAAGTCCAGAAACCAAATCAAAATTCTGGATATGCCTGCTTTCTGCTGCTTGTGCAATCCTCTGGGGTTGACAGTGTGGGTCCCTGTAGCTCTCCTCCCACCCCATGTTCTTGGGCGTCTGGGTGAGGAGGCTATGGAACTTGGGGAGGAGGGAGGTTGGTTATACAGGGGCTGCAGTGGCAGTCTGTGGTCTTGCTGTCTTTCCTGCATTAGATCCACCATACAGTGGAGCATGTCAGTTTCCTCCCCCATGAGCTTGACCATAGCATCCTGCCTGCTCTCATTGCACGCGTCCCTCCTCTCTTTGTGTTCATTTAACGCTTTATGGAACTCTGCAATTGTTTGCCTCCACACATTCAGCTGAGCCCTATCAGTGCGGGAGTACTGCATGAGCTCGGCGAACATGTCGTCCTGAGTTCGTTTTTTCCGCCTTCTAATCTGGACCAGCCTCTGGGACAGAGTAGACGGGCCACGTTGAAATATTTGCACCTGCGGGAGGAGAAAAAGGGAGGGTAATATTTTAGAAGATATATTTTAGAGAACAAAGGGGACACACTTTCTCAGTGAAACAGGCAATTCATAGTACACAGCACATGTTCTTTCTGTACAAGGTCGCATTTTGCCTCACTGAAGTGCCTGCCACTTTGGTGTGAGTAAGCCATCACAAGCAGCTGGACAACAGAATTCAGCTTGCAGGCAGCCATGGTAAGCCCTAGGGGCATGCGGGGTTCTGCTTCTTCATTCATTTCAATGTTTTCAAAACTGCCGGGCCCCCTTTCCCATACCAAGCAATGCCTGGTGGGTTTGCCATATAAATGGAGGGCCTGCGGGCTCTCTGGGATGATCGCTTCACACAACACTCTCCCCCCGCCCTGGCACCCATTGCGTGGCTCCGATGAGGCTCTGAGGAGGGATGAGCCCTTTAAACTAAACACGAACAGCCCAGCACATCTGGGTTTCCCCCCACCCCCCACTGCGTGGCTTCGATCAGGCTCTCACTCACCAGAAGTGCCTTCTCCAGGGTCATGGTCCGGGAGCCCGCCTTGGGAGTGGGGGGAGGCTGTTGGCTCCAGTGTTAAGACTAGTTCCTGGCTAGGGGGCAAAACGGATTCCCCACTTGCCGCCTGTGCACTGTCGTCATCCTCCTCCTCTTCGCCCTCCAGTAACTCATCCTCCTCACTCCATGCAACTCCCCCATTGCAGGTTTCTATGGACAGTGGTGGGGTAGTGGTGGCATCACCCCCCCATAATTGCATGCAGTTCACAATAGAAGCAGCATGTATGGGGCTGTGACCCAGAGCGCCTATTCGCCTCCCTCACTTTTTTGGTATGCTTGACTGAGCTCCTTGATTTTTGTATGACACTGCTGTGTCCCTGGAGCAGCCTCTTTCCGTCATGGCCCTGGAGATTTTAGCGTATGTATTTGCGTTTCTTTTTTTTGGAACATAGTTCTGCTATAACAGATTCGTCTCCCCAACATGCGATGAGATCCAGTACCTCCCATTCGGACCATGCTGGAGCTTGTCTGCAAATCTGGGACTGTGTGGTCTCTTGTGATGGTGGACTCTGCATGGTTGCCTGTGGCGGTGGACTGTGCTGATGGTGACCAAACAGGAAATGAAATTCAGAAGTTCCCGGGGCTTTTACTGCCTACCTGACTAGTGCATTGGAGTTGAGAGTGTTATCCAGAGCGGTCACAAGGGAGCATTCTGGGATAGCTCCCGGAGGCCAATAACGTCTAATTGCATCCACAGTACCTGTAACCCGGAACTGCGATCTTGATTTTAGCGCTACTCCACTTGCCGAGGTGGAGTACAGAAATCTGATTAAAGAGCCCTTTAAATAGAAAAAAACGGTTTGGTTGTGTGGAGGGAATCAGTTTTATTTTGAATTAACTCTGCTAATTCTGAAATAACTGCATACCGTAGACCAGGCCTAAGTGAACAGTGACTGGCATAGTACAAAGAGACTTGTGTAATAGAATTAACGTAAAAAGAAAAGGAGTACTTGTGGCACCTTAGAGACTAACCAATTTATTTGAGCATAAGCTTTCGTGAGCTACAGCTCACTTCATCGGATGCATACTGTGGAAAGTGTAGAAGATCTTTTTATATACACACAAAGCATGAAAAAATACCTCCTCCCACCCCACTCTCCTGCTGGTAATAGCTTATCTAAAGTGACCACTTTCCTTACAATGTGTATGATAATCAAGGTGGGCCATTTCCAGCACAAATCCAGGGTTTAACAAGAACGTCGGGGGGGGGGGGTAGGAAAAAACAAGGGGAAATAGGTTACCTTGCATAATGACTTAGCCACTCCCAGTCTCTATTCAAGCCTAGAGTTAATTGTATCCAATTTGCAAATGAATTCCAATTCAACAGTTTCTCGCTGGAGTCTGGATTTGAAGTTTTTTTGTTGTAATATAGCAACTTTCATGTCTGTAATTGCGTGACCAGAGAGCTTGTAGTTTCCTCAGGAAGTCAGTGG